AGCTTGTCTCTTTCATCCACAGAAGTTGATCCAATGACAGATATTACCTCACCCATCTTGTCTCTCTAATATCCTGAGACCAACATGGCTACAACACTGCAGATGAACACCTCTGCACCCGAATGCACTGCTATAGAAGGAACTGTTCTTAAGCGATTGTTAAGCTCCCATAGGTTTCACTCTGATCTCTACTTTCCTCTCCAATGGATGGTGCAAGGACCATGTACAACAACCACACTGCCATAACTGGATCAGCATCGGGGTATGGACCTTCAGTGCTAAGAGCGTGGGCTTCTGCCACTTGGTGGAACTCCACTGCTTCGTAACAGGAGTAGAACCTTCTTTTATGTGGAACGGCCACTGGAGAGGGACAAACCACCATATGCTTCCAGTGTGAGCTACTCCCACATCAGGTAGCCAAAGGCTTCCCTATACCCCTATTCTCCTTTCAACAAGCACAGTTATTTGGGCCGCTACCAACACAATCGCTTCACTGTTCACTTTAGAGCCTCTGTGTCCCCCTTTTGGTACCCCAGGATTGTTGGCAGAGGCGGCATAGGGTCCTTTACCCATTTGCCTGGATCCAAGCCACTAATTAACCGTCTTGTACTGGTGGAAGCTGCCTCTGCGTCACAAATGTGCGTAAGCTGAGTGCTTTGGAAGTGACTGTCAATTCTTGGCCTCCTGCCACAGGGTAGCTCTAATGTGTCTGACAGGTTTTTACAAGGCAGATTTCCCTAAGTGGAGGAACCCATTTGCTCCCCTTCTATTCAGGGATTTTTTTTTCTCAGCACACTGGCCCGTGACGGTTGCCCAGAAGTGAAATGTGCATCTGTGTTCTCTTGTGGAATTTGTTTTGCACCTTGTCTGCCTTTGCCGTCAGATTTGCTTATGCACGTTGCAGTGCCTGTGGATCCTGCGCATACACGTCCGGTTCGTGTTCGCAAGCCTGTTTCCCTTTGTCTCTCGCACTCACGGACCGCTGCAGCTCGCAGATAGGCAGTTCTGTATGGACAGACTTCGGCACTGGGAGGGGCCGACTGGTGGGTCAGCCAGTGTATAAAGAGCAGAGTGCGTAGGAAAAGCTCCTGCTGCCCCCGATAACAGTTGGCATGTAGGCCGTTGCCCCTTTTCAGCCTTTTAGAATAGTTTGGTGACTGCAGCTCCCAGTCTGCCTACATGCTTCCTTCCTCACCGGTTTTGCACTCATATTCTGCCCTCTGAGGAAACCAGGATGGATAATTTGTTCTCTCGCTCTTTATCCGGAGGCTGCACAAAATGTTTGCACAACAATCCCCAAGCACAGTCAAGGCAACAACTGAAACCAGCCCAATCATTTCTTCTCAAGAAAGTTTATATGAAGATGTACCTATCTCATAGAGCTGGAAGGGACCTTGAAAGGTCATCAAGTCCATTCCACTGCCTTCACAGCAGGCCCAAGTACTGTCCTGACAGATTTTTGCCCCAAACGGCCCCTCAAGGAATGAACTCACAAGCCTGGGGTTAGCAGGCCAATGCTCAAACCACTGAGCTATCCCTCCTCCCATGGCTTGTGGTTCTCACCTTCAAGGTGGTTAATGTGCTGGGCCCAGGCTATCTAACAGACCACGCAAAGCTCCGTCCTGGAGCTGTGGTAACAGCTCCAATTCCCAGGCACAATGGGATTTTCTATCATAAGCTTACCTGTTCAGGAGACAAGCTTTCCTGAGGGCCAGCCCAAGACTATGGAATGAATTCACCCAGAACTCAGGGTCATCGCAATCTTCCCCACCTTCCACTCCAAGTGCACTTCTCTGGTTTGCGTTCTTTAAACAGAGTGGACTTCAAAAGAAAGAAATGAAAACAAAACCCTACTAAAATAAAACACCCCAGTGCACACACAACTCTCCTCCCCAGGGAGAGGATGAGAGAACAAACCATATCTGACAGATGTTAGTCATGTCACAATGCACAAGTGGAGGCACTCGGATACTACAGTGGTGAGGGTGGCAAAAGAACCTATATACAATAGAATAAAATTCTCCAGGCAGAAGGGCTATTCTAGCTCCATCTTAAAGCCAACCCGCACAACAACCTTCCACAGTCTTAATGGTAACTGATTCCACATTTGCAGAACCTTATAACAAAAAGCTTTTGTCCATAACTTGTATTCATTTGAAGGTATGACAGTTTCAAAGCCTCTGTAGTGTATAAGCTGGGCTTGTTGAATGTAGCGTATTAAACAGTTCACTAGGCTTACAACAGTTCAGAATGTTAAAAATAAAATTGTACCAGCGGTACTGTCGTCTCTGCGCTGGAGCAAAGCAGGCAATTTTTGAATAAAGAAAACAGCCGCATTTGTTGGAGCTAACGAACAATGCCAAATGACACATCCTGCGCATAATATACAAACTGCATTGGGAGAGCTCATTAGACTGCATTATTATCATATGCAGTATTACCATCGGCAAGAACTGGCTTCCCTGCTGATGCATGCCTATTCTCAGCCAAGAGTGCTAAGTCAAACTGCTACTTAATCTATAAAGAAACTGGAGTTTAACATGGTCACCCATATAACCTGCTACAAAAGTCGCGTCAGATCAGAATGATCTCCGCATTTATCGTTTTTAGGACAACATGCAAGATTAATCTCTCTCTCTCTCTCTCTCTCTCTCTCTCTCTCTCTACACACACACACACACACACACACACACACACACACACACACACACACACACACACACACACACACACACACACACACACACACACACACACACACACACACTTATGATGTGGCTTTAGAAGGGACTAGGTACCCAAATTACTTTGGACTTTTGAGATCTGTCCAGGTATCTCATGTACATCTAAAAATAAACCAAAGTATAAAGTCTGGGCACGCTGAGAAGGCTCTGCAGTCTGTTCCAGGTGATGCTGTAGAGTTACTGATTGACTGCAGATGAATCTCTATATAGTTCTCTTTGTCTAGAACTGTATTTACCCTAGTGCAATGGTTTTCAACCTCTTTTCATTTGCAGATCTTTAAAAAATTTTGAATGGAGATGTGGACCCCTTTGGAAATCTTAGACATAGTCTGTGGACCACAGGTTGAAAACCACTGCCCTAGTGGGAGCTAAGCAGGCATGATCTTATTCCCACTGAAGTCTATGGCAAAGCTTTCACTGATTGCAGTGAGTGAAACTCGACCCCTCACATTCACTCAACCTTTCTGTTCTGTGTTTGTACAGCACCTAGCGCAATAGAACACTGGTCATGAAGAAGTCTCCTAGGCACTACAGTAATACAAATATATAACAAATTAATTAAATAAATAAGTACTCAAGAGTGGAAAACCTTAATTAATCATGTTTTGTTTTCTTGCTGCTCGGCCTAGCAAGGATCAGGAACGTCATAAAAGTCCACGTTTAAGAAGGGGGTCATTTCCCCTCCCCCGAACTGAAGCCTTCTAATTAGAGTGGCACTGATACTTTCTGAAGGGATTCTGCCTAGTCCTCTTCGGCCAGAAGAACAGTGATTCTGAAGGTAGAGGTTTTTAAATAATGGGAGGGCAGAAAGGGATTCTGTGGGCCTCATCTGTGGATAGCAGAGGAACCCTAGTGGGTAGAGATTAAAAACATGTTTTTCCTGGGCTGCCCTATTATTGTCCCATTAGCCCAGTTGAGCTTCTACCATTTGCAGGAGTAGTCTTCCCCTCCTCCTGGTCACTGTAGTAATTTCTCTTTTAGGGTCCTGCACTTAGGACGGAAGAATCCCATGCATTACTACAGGCTTGGGAACGACTAGCTAAGAGGCAGTTCTGCAGAAAAGGACCTGGGGATTACAGTGGATGAGAAGCTGGATATGAGTCAGCAGTGTGCCCTTGTTGCCAAGGCTAACAGCATATTGGACTGCATTAGTAGGAGCATTGCCAGCAGGTCGAGGGAAGTGATTATTCCCCTCTATTTGGCACTGGTGAGGCCACATCTGGAGTATTGCGTCCAGTTTTGGGCCCCCCACTACAGAAAGGATGTGGACAAATTGGAGAAAGTCCAGAGGAGGGCAACGAAAATGATTAGGGAGCTGGGGCACATGAGTTATGAGGAGAGGCTGAGGGACTGGGTTTATTTAGTCTGCAGAAGAGAAGAGTGAGGGGGGGGATTTGATAGCAGTCTTCAACTACCCGAAGGGGGGGGGGTTCCAAAGAGGATGGAGCGAGGCTGTTCTCAGTGGTGGCAGATGACAGAACAAGAAGCGATGATATCAAGTTGCAGCGGGGGAGGTCTAGGTTGGATATTAGGAAAAACTATTTCACTAGGAGGGTGGCGAAGCACTGGAATTGGTTACCAAGGGAGGTGGTGGAATCTCCATCCTTAGAGTTTTTTAGGCCCAGCTTGATAAAGCCCTGGCTGGGATGATTTAGTTGGGGTTGGTCCTGCTTTGAGCAGGGGGTTGGACTAGATGACCTCCTGAGGTCTCTTCCAACCCTAATCTTCTATGATTCTATGATTTGCAACTTTCAGAAGGGCTGAACTAGCCTGTTTCATGAACAGTGCAGGAATTAGGAGTAGAAAAAGCTTGGGGAGGGGGGGGGGACACAGCTGGCAGGAACTCCTAATAAGATTTTTTTAAAAGAAGAGTAGTTTTAAAATGAATCTTGGAAGAACTAGAGAGTTCCAGCAGAATCTTAAGCAGGTGCTCCAAACTCCAATCCACCAACTATCTCTCTCCCATATAGTAGGGAAAGCGACTCTCCTTGGTACGTAACCAAGGTATGAAGGAGCCCCTCCTCAGAACTGTATCTTAATATAGCACCCAGAAAATCTGGTCAGTGTGTACTGTATAGTATACACAGACTTTATTTAAATAGGTCACAACAGCTTGTGTGATAATGTTAGTTACCAGATTTTCTCAGTGTTCTTCATATGGTCTAGTGAGGCCTTTATATTTGACCTGAGGTCACTCAATGGTAATTCTGCATGGCTGACTGTGGGTTTCAATGACTCTCCTCCAGCTAGTGTTTTTTTTTTTTAATCACATGCTCTTGTCTTGTTGTTATAACTAAAAATCCACCATAGTAACGAAATGATGCAAAAAGAAGGCTATGAGGCTTATCTATGATTGTTCTCCCCTGTACCATAACTGTATAGTATACTGAACTGATATAGTAAGCAATAAGAATACACTATACCAATACAGTTTTGTGCTAATGTCTATTTACCTGCTCACTGAGTTTTGATGCCCCAGCCACAATAAGAACAATGATGTTACCAACAGCCACAGTCAGCAGCCAGCCTGCCTGAAGCACCGATTTCATGTTGGAAGGTGCCTGCAGAAACAAGATATTTAATTGAATTGCTTTGCACTTTAACACATCTTATAAAAGTAGATTATGTAGGTTCATGTTCAAGCTTCAAAGTTTAGCTGATTCTTAATATTAACCCGGGTAAAGAATGTGAGCGAAGCCAAACAGCAAAAATTAAGATGTTTGTACACCAATGCGAGGAGCCTAGGTAACAAAATGGAGGAACTAGAGTTACTGGTGCAGGAAGTGAAACCAGATATTATAGGGATAAGAGAAACATGGTGGAATAGTAGTCATGACTGGAGTACAGGTATTGAAGGGTATGTGCTGTTTAGGAAAGACAGAAATAAAGGCAAAGGTGGTGGAAAAACATTGTATATCAATGATGAAGTAGACTGTAAAGAAATAAGGGATGGAATGGATAAGACAGAGTTTGTCTGGGCAAAAATCACATTGGGGAAGAAAGCTACTAGAGCCTCCCCAAGATAGTGCTTGGGTTGTGCTATAGACCACCGGATCTGATTTGGATATGGATAGAGACCTTTTAAATTAAGTAAATACTAATGGGAGACTTTAACTTCCCAGATATAGATTGGAGGACAAGTGCTAGTAATAATCATAGGGCTCAGATTTTCCTAGATGCGATAGCTGATGGATTCCTTCACCAAGTAGTTGCTGAACCAACAAGAGGGGATGCCATTTTAGACTGGGTTTTGGTGAGTAGCGAGGACCTCATAGAAGAAATGGTTGTAGGGGACAACCTTGGTTCGAGCAATCATGAGCTAATTCAGTTTAAACTAAAAGGAAGAATAAACAAAAATAGATCTGTGACTAGGATTTTTTATTTCAAAAAAATTAAGGAAATTAGTTAGGGAAGTGGATTGGACTGAAGTACGTGTGGATCTAAAGGTGGAGGAGGCCTGGAATTACTTCAAGTCAAAGTTGCAGAAACCATCAGAAGCCTGCATCCCAAGAAAGGGGGAAAATTCATAGGCAGGAGTTGTAGACCAAGCTGGATGAGCAAGCATCTCAGAGAGGTGATTAAGAAAAAGCAGAAAGTCTACAAGGAGTGGAAGATGGGAGTGATCAGCAAGGAAAGCTACCTTATTGAGGTCAGAACATGTAGGGATAAAGTGAGAAAGGCCAAAAGCCATGGAGAGTTGGACCTTGCAAAGGGAATTAAAACCAATAGTAAAAGGTTCTATAGCCATATAAATAAGAAAAAAACAAAGAAAGAAGTGGGACCGCTAAACACTGAGGATGGAGTGGAGGTTAGGATAATCTAGGCATGGTCCAATATCTAAACAAATACTTTGCCTCGGTCTTTAATGAGGAGCTTAGGGATAATTGTAGGATAACAAATGGGAATGAGGATATGGAGGTAGATATTACCACATCCAAGATAGAAGCCAAATTTGACCAGATTAATGGGACAAAATCGGGGGCCCAGATAATCTTCATCCAAGAATATTAAAGGAACTGGCACATGAAATTGCAAGCCCAATAGCAAAAAAAAGTTAATGAATCTGTAATCTCAGATTCATTACCGTATGACTGGAGAATTGTTAACATAGTTCCTATCTTTAAGAAAGGGAAAAAACGTGATCCGGGCAACTACAGGCCTGTTAGTTTGACATCTGTAGTACACAAGGTCTTGAAAAAAATTTTGAAGAAGAAAGTAGTAAAGGACATTGAGGTCAATGATAATTGGGACAAAATACAACATGGTTTTACAAAAGATAGATCGTGTCAAACCAACCTGATATCCCTCTTTGAGAAGGTAACAGATTTTCTAGACAAAGGAAATGCAGTGGATCTAATTTACCTTGATTTCAGTAAGGCATTTGATACAGTTCCACATGGGGAATTATTAGCTAAATTGGAAAAGATGGGGATCAATATGAAAATTAAAAGGTGGATAAGGAGCTGGTTAAAGGGGAAACTACAATGGGTCGTACTGAAAGGTGAACTGTCAGGCTGGAGGGAGGTTACTAGTGGAGTCCCTCAGGGATCAGTTTTGGGACCAATCTTATTTAATCTTTTTATTACTGACCTTGGCACAAAAAGTGGGAATGTGCTAATAAAGTTCGCGGATGACACAAAGCTGGGAGGTATTGCCAATACAGAAAAGGACCAGGATATCATACAGGAAGATCTGGATGACCTTGTAAACTGGAGTTATAGTAATAGGATGAAATTTAAGAGTGAAAAGTGCAAGGTCATGCATTTAGGGATTAATAACAAGAATTATTGTTATAAGCTGGGGACGCATCAGTTGGAAGTAACAGAGGAGGAGAAGGACCTCAGAGTATTGGTTGATCACAGGATGACTATGAGCCGCCAATGTGATATAGCTGTGAAAAATGCGGTCTTGGGATGCATCAGGCGAAGTATTTCCAGTAGAGATAAGGAGGTGTTAGTACCGTTATACAAGGCACTGGTGAGACCTCATCTGGAATACTGTGTGCAGTTCTGGTCTCCCATGTTTAAGAAGGCTGAATTCAAACTGGAACAGGTACAGAGAAGGGCTACTAGGATGATCCGAGGAATGGAAAACCTGTCTTCTGAAAGGAGACTCAAAGAGCTTGGCTTGTTTAGCCTAACCAAAAGAAGGCTGAGGGGAGATATGATTGCTCTCTATAAATATATCAGAGGGATAAATACCAGGAAGGGAGAGGAATTATTTAAACTCAGTACCAATGTGGACACAAGAACAAATGGATATAAACTGGCCATCAGGAAGTTTAGACTTGAAATTAGACGAAGGTTTCTAACCATCATCGGAATGAAGTTCTGGAACAGCCTTCCAAGGGGAGCAGTGTGGGCAAAAGATATATCTGGCTTCAAGACTAAGCTTGATAAGTTTATGGAGGGGATGGTATAATGGGATAGCCTAATTTTGGCAACTAATTGGTGTTTGACTATTAGCAGTAAATATGCCCAATGGCTTGTGATGGGATATTAGGTGGGGTGGGATCTGAGATACTACATAGAATTCTTTCCTGGGTGTCTGGCTGGTGAGTCTTGCCCACATGCCCAGGGTTTAGCTGATGGCCATAGTTGGGGTCGGAAGGAATTTTCCTCCAGGGCAGATTGGTTGAGGTCCTCGGGGTTTTTTGCCTTCCTCTGCAGCATGGGGCACAGGTCACTTGCTGGAATTTTCTCTGCACCTTGAAGTCTTTAAACCATGATTTGAGGACTTCAACGGCTCAGACATAAGTTTGATACAGGAGTTGGTGAGTGAGATTCTGTGGCCTGCATTGTGCAGGAGGTCAGACTAGATGATCATAATGGTCCCTTCTCACCTTAAAGTCTATGATACTATGATTCTATGAAATGCTGCTGTTTTTTATTTAAAGAATTGTGGGAAGGGCAGGGAAGGATTGTGGAAGCAGTAAATTTCCAGTATTGCTTATAATACTGCAATTATTGTGTACAATGAGTGATTAACAAGCATATTTTACATGACTCAAACTCACTGGGTACAAAATTGTTGCTGAAATCAGAGTTCACAATAACAAATCAAATTATATCTGTCTAGGTACTTATAAGGTACCCATCACAACAGTATATGAGCACAACATGTTACAGTACATATACTATTCATCAGAATTAAAGGGAAAGGACATAAAAAAGAAAAAGCACTCATGGCTAATGTGTGAGACAAATTGGAGTGTCTTAAAAATAAGGGGAGAGAAATTATTTAGGGTGATACAAAGTGATACACAATTAAACTGATGCAAAAGGCTCTTATGTCAGTTTCAATAAGATTTGTTTTGTTTTAGCTTAAATTGACAAGGGACACTTTGAAGCTAAAACAAAATAAACCACTCTGAAATAAGAGTGTCCACACCGGAGTTTAAAAAGCAATTTAAATTAAACTAGCACAACAGATGTGTGTAGACAAGGTCTCAGTATCTATTCATTCTGTTTTTAGCTTTTCCCCACCCAGAGCTGGCTCCATAACAAGAAGCAGTACAGCCCTGGTGCCAAGAGTTTCCATTGGCAGGCCGTTTGTATGATGGAGTGACCTGAAGACTGGTGGTCAGATCATCAGCTACTGTAAATCAAATAGTCTGAAATCAACACAAAAGTCATTGAAAAATGCTAATTTACGCCAACAAAAAATCTGGCAACTTCTGATTCGCATAGATAGTGGTGGTGATTATTTTTCTTTAGTGATTAGTCTAATTGTTTTTCTGTCTGCTTGGTAAAACTATTACATTCATCAGTAAAAGGTGAAGACATATCTCAGGAATACTAATGTTATTGATGGAAACCTCCTACCTGAGAATAGGAAAATGCCAGTCCAGTGACAGAAAAGACCACTTCTCCACAAGTCATAATGAAGTACTGAGGGATCTGCCAAGCCATGTGAACTGTATTGGGTTGGATATCTTCAACGTATCTGAGTTCTAGTCTGTTGTTGTTGCACTGAAATAATAATAATGAAAATGGTACATTAAAAAACAATGATGAAAATGTTGCATGTTTTCTAAAGATAAAAATATGCTATGAGATTTTCATCAGGGAGCAACCCTCCTATCTATGTTAAAATAAATCAACAGTGCATAGAGAATTTTAAATTAGTGATAATTTTGTAACTGAGTCCATATTAAGACCTTTAAGCCCTGGGTATCTGACCAGACTCCAGGTTTTTAAGTCTGTTAGGCAGAAACTAGAACCCCTACATTATTAACTGAATCACCATACGTATTTTGATTCAGAATGCAACCCATTAGTTCCATTATTATTTTTATAGTTTATTAAAACTACATTAAGATAAAATATTCTAATATATGAGATAAGTCCATATAGTTATTTTATATTTCAGCAATAGCAGGTAATTTGTTCAATGGCAATTAAAACAAAATTAAAAAGTAATGTAACACAAAAGTTATTCTGCATCTTCTAGCAGCACTGGCAATTTACCTCTTGAATTACAATAGTGTATGCACTGCCATATCCAAATGGTATTGACTGATTTTTGCAAGTCAGTGAATTGTCTCCAAAAACAACAATCTCTTTTCTGAAAAACAAAGAAGTTAATCTAAATAACTCTGGAATTAATTGTACTTACATAATAATACCATGAATTCCATGTACTTTTTCTGAAGACAAAGACTATTTTTTTCCTGGAAGTCTTTGGATTAAGGTAAAGCAAAATACTTACACGCCTCTTGTAAAGGATGTATAATTGGTGGCAGAAAAACTCTTCACATCTGCAAGATAAGTACTACCCATTGTGATGTTGATGGTTGAAGCCAAATTGTTTATAAATCTTTACAAAATAAAAAGAATATAATACTTGCTTATAAAACATGACAACATAAGTAAAACTTACACAAAGCTAACATTCTTTACATTATATGCTGGCAAAGCAACAGATATTTGAAATAATTTTCCTCCCCTATCTCATTTGAATAGATTTTGATCATTTTTAAATGACATTTTCTCTTCTCTTTAAAAATGTATAGCTGATGCAAGAAGCAAAACAGAATCCATCTCCCTTTCCAGATGAGTCAATAAGTTAAAACCTGTTTTTTTCAGTAACAAATGAAGATTCAGGTTGAAGATGCACAGGAAGCAGAAACAAGATATTGACTATAAAGATGCCATTTTAACACTCAGCTGAAGTAAAGCAAATGTTTATTAACGATACCTGATTTGATTTTTTCCATCTTCTGACTTTGATGTAAGGCCATCAAGCAGCTAGTGGAAAAGACAATTATCATTAATAAGATATTTGTGTTGGTATCTTTGATATGCTATGATGTGCACTATTATGTACCAATATCCACTATCTCTTACTTTAGAATAAGACTCCAAGGGTAGATCCACAGAGTTAGGCCAGTGTCTGTCTACTACTTTTGGTGCCTAAATACAAAACTTAAATCCTCATAACTTCAGCTGCCATCTAACTCTATAAGCAACTAAATTTCCACTGGTAAAGTCCCCATGGCACCTAACTTTCTGCTGGTGGGCACATGCTAAGACACCTTAATCCTAATGTTCAGCTCACACCTCAGCCCCAATAGGATACCCCACATATCTCACCTGTGAGGCCTGATCTGGTAGACATTCTCAGAGGCTGTCTACCAGGTTGGACCCCAAACAAAACAGAAGATGAGGTGATGCCAGTGCTCCCCTTACACTTAATAAAGCAGGATATGGGAGAGACCCAGGTTCAAATCCCCACTATGCATGAGCTGGAGCAAGGATTGAACACAGGACTCCTACCTCACTACCCTAACCACGGGGCTATACAGTATTTTGGGATGGGCCTCTCTCAACCTCTCCTGTTGAAGCCATTCCACCTTGTATGAAATATTTAAATATTAATTGGGCCAGAGAGAGAGAGAGTCATTGTTACTCTCGCTAGGGCACTCACTTATAAGACCCAGGTTCCAATCCCTGCTCCAATGGCTAAGTATTTCATAAAAAGTGGAACAGCTTCAAGAAAAGACTATATAGTATATAGCTCAGTGGTTGGGGCACTCACGTGGAACATAAGAGAGTTGCATTCAAATCCCTGCTCCAGCTCACGCAGAGAGAGAGAACTGAACCATGGGCTTCCACATTTTGGGTGAGTGGTCTAACTACCCGGCTTAAAAGTGGCACTACCACCTCCTAATTTTTATTTATTTATTTTGTGACAAAGGTCTGACTTAAGCGCCTAAATCGAGGCGATGGTTCATGGCTGTGAATCTTTAGCAGAGGGAGGTGCCTCCTGCTCATCCAGAGATGGGCACCTACCTCTGGCATTTCCTATTGACTAGCTTGGGCAACCCCCCGCCCACAATCAGCTTGCTGACTTTTGTGAATCCCTTTCTTAGGGTCTTACTTTCCCTATGCACTGGATAGGGAGATGT